TAGAAGTTCAGAAATAAAACTAACCGTGAACTTGTAAGTTACAATTTATTAAATATGATGTACATATAGAATATTATTTACTATAAACATTTTGACACATTTTTCAACAGGTTCCCCTAAGTTACAATTGAATTCATTGCAATAAATGATGGCCGTAATATTGTTTCATAAATACACATATTTACACGTGGCCACTACTATTGCTGGGGAAGTTTGTGGTTTTTCACGGAAATAATAAAGTAACATTTAAATTTGATGAATCGTTTCTTTTGTTTTTATAACGATAAAATTAATCGTCAGTCTTGTACTTTATGTTCAATGAAAAACCACATATATAAAATTTCTAAAATCGAATAGGAAGAAATTCGGCCTAATGATATTAGTGACACCTTGATTCCTGAATTGTGTGTCGCAATGATGCTTCTGCGTAAAAGAAATAAAGTGTGCCCTTCAAAATGTGCATCTATCAAAAATCGACGATTTACAAATGCGTAAAATAAAACAATTTGACATTGTACTATACACAAATATACAGGATACTCATCATCACCTTTCGTACCTGAACAAAACAATGCTTTTTTTCTCATATAAGTTTCGCTCGTTCAAACTACTCCATTGAACATTTCAACGGTTGAATTTACTATAACAACATATTCGTTGGATTCTCCATAAAGCTCTTAAAAGCAGCTAACCACTGCGCGCCTACTGCACCGTCTACGGTGCGATGATCGCAACTGGCAGTAACAGACATAAATTGGGAGGTTATGAATCTAAAAAAAAAAAAATGAATAATTAGGTGTAAAATATTAAATAAAATATAGATTAAAAAAATACGTACCCTTTTTCATTTTTGGCAGGTATTAACCTGGCTTCAGTTGTACCTACAGCAAGAATGATAGATTGGGGAGGATTTATAATCGCGGAGAAGTTTTTAATGCCAAACATTCCTAGATTTGACAAAGTGATAGTTCCTCCTTGGAACTCTTGTGGTTGTAATTTTCCTTCCCTCGCTTTTGTAGCCAATTCTTTTACATCTTTGCTAATTTGAACTATACCCTTTCCATCTGCACCGAAAACTATTGGTGTGATTAGACCGCTCTCTGTACTTACTGCTACACTTACATCAACATTATTGTATCTGTAAAGAGAAAAAAATTTAATTTAATTGATGTAGCTGTAATTTATACTACTAATAATAAAGAATAACCTACTGTCTAATAACTTCTCCCATCCAAGCACTGTTACCCTCAGGTACTTTTTTGCAAGCCATCGCCATTCCTTTGATAATGATATCGTTTACACTAAGCTTTACCTTCTCCTTCTCTAACATCTTATTAAATCGTTCCCGCATTTCTAAAGCAGCGTCCATTTTCACATCTATTGATAAGTAATAATGTGGAATAGATCGTTTACTTTCCAGTAAACGCTTAGCAATTACTGCTCGAATGTTGGACACAGGAACATCTATTCCTCCTGGAGCACCTGCTACTGCTGCCATAGCAGGTTGTACAGCCATAGCTGGTGCACCTTCTAAATCTTTAGATGTTATGGCACCATACAGTCCTGAACCTTTTAAGCCCTTTAAGAAAAAAAACAGAAATATATTAATACCAAAGTCTCTAATAAACTAATTGTTACCTAATTAAAAAATTACCTGCAAACTAAGGCCTTTGTCAGCTGCAAGTTTTTTAGCTAATGGGGTAACATATATTCTATCCCCTGATGGGGTAGGTTGTGGCACTGCTGGTGCTGCTGGTGCAGCTGGTGCTGGTGGTGTTACTGGTGATGGAGGAGGAGTGGATGGTGTAGGAGCAGCTGGTGCAGGAGTTGGGGCAGCTGGAGAATCATCCTTAAAATCTTTGAAGGCAGCTACACTACCTTCGTCTGGAACAATTATACAAACTAGTTTGCCAATAGGGACATTTTTTGTTCCTGCAGCTACCATAATTTTTGCCAGATAGCCTTCTTCTGGTGTTTCAAAGCCCATTGTCGCTTTATCCGTTTCAATTTCTGCCAGTAAGTCACCTTCATTCAACTTATCACCTAAAGTAAAATTGCAAAATTTAAAATTATCAATAGTTCCATCATACACAATAAATTATCTATCTTACCTTCCTTCTTATGCCAACTGACAATAGTGCCTGTTTCCATGGTAGGAGACAATGCAGGAAGTTGTACTTTGACATGATCCGGATAATCTGCATAATACCTTAATTGTTGCTTCCATGGGGTCACAGTAAGACGTAAGGTATTTTGAACCTGAATCCTGAATACCAAGCAAGAAAGCAATGTGTTACTCTAAAAAATGCTTAGAATCAGAAGACAACATGAAGTTCACTTTCAAATTTTTCCTTTAATGTAAAAAACCAATCTATGCTGCTAAACATCTTAAATGTAACAATTGCCTGCATGGAAGATTTATGCAAACCAAACATTACAACAAAATTATTATCTCAAGAAGAAACAATTATGACGTACAACATTTTTCCAGATATGATCTTAATCATATTAGGCAGTAACAGGTGGAAGGAGATACAACATTGGAAAAGTTTTCAAGGGAAATGGAAAGATGAAAGGAATATTCGTTGAGCTTAACTAGAAACAATGATGCAAAACTTAATTAGAGAACGACAGAATACCCAAACTATTGAGCAAACATGATGGTGGTGAAAAAATCAAATACCTTTGCAGATATTTTCTGTGAAGACATCGTATGACCATGGATCTTACGGTATTTGTCCGCACAGAATTTCGTAGTAACGCGCGTGCCAATTCATTACGTAGACTTGTCGTCGTTCGTATCATATCTTAGATGATTCGGGAATCCTTTACTACCGGTTTTTAGTAGCAAGTCGCGAGGAATTTAACGTTATAACTGAGCTTTCGCTTGGACACTCGGACAACGAACGTGTTCCAAACGTGTCAATGATGTAGGGGTTATAGTAAAACTCAGCTAGGAACGGACGATACTAGCACCGAATTAGAGGTCGTTTGCAAGGTCACGTGGCTTTAAGTTTAAAGGTGGTTCTCAAAAGCCGCAGATCATTTTTCGCGGGTTATGAGATGTAAAGAAAATAAAAGAAAAAAGAAAGTAAAAATGAAATGAGATGCAAGATCGCTTCCTCATTGGAACTGAAAATCCATGTCAAGGTTTTCTGGCTTATAACCAACGGTGTCATTGATAAAATAGAACGGTAACTGTGATTCGTTAACTAGAGTAGCCTGACTTACGTCTAATTCAGCGCTAACAATATCGGCGGCGATTGGAGGAACTTAATGTTTTATCGACCTACCATTTTTTTTTTCACTTTAATTTTAAATGCTAATAATCCGTAATATTTGAATGTTAAATCGAGGTTAAATCGAAATGAAAAAACTGGCTGCTGGCCTAGCAACAAAGTCAAACATAACTGAAATTCTAAGTCAAAACGTAAAAACCGGCACAGAAAAATTCACATTTCTCAATGGAGATGTTTACGGAGGAGAATACAAATTAGTTTACGAACCATTTCTTTTAGTGAAACAAGGTAATGTTTTATGAAACGTTATTTGCTTCTTGAAGCGGTAATCGATCGTTTTATATAGGTAAAGGAACGTATGCCACTGATAATTTCGATGTGTATCACGGGGAATGGGATAACGATACCTTTGCAACTAGTGATATTCACATTAAGTAATAAACTTTATTCTACGACTTACAATTAAATAAATACGCTGAAAATTCGTTGTTAAAGGTATAACAACGACGCTCAGTATCGAGGTAAAATCGATTCAAACGGAGCAATGAACGGCCTAGGAACCTACATATTTCCCGATGGATCCTCGATCGAAGCTGATTGGGTCGATAACGTACCATTTGCAAATATTATTTTCAGGGAACCTCTTGGATTCGCGTGGGTGGTCCAAGATACGACAAAAGATGTAAGAGATATAAAATTAAAAATTTTTAAATTCAAAAATTCAAATTTAAATGTAAAAGTTTAAATTCAAGAATTTAATATTTTAATCGCAGGCGGTCACATTTTCCCCTGGAAACCATTTTTGGAACAATTTGTTGTCAGATGAAAGTATCACGCAGTCTACTGAGTCGTCTCTCGGGGAAAATGAACTAAATTAATCCGACGATTCGGGGAAAGGTGTTGTTCAATTAAATTTCTCAGTCCTCTTTATACATCGGCGGAACCGTGAATCGGCTTGTGGCAGGCTTGAACAGAGGATTATCATTCAGACTGAACACAGTTTTCTTTTGCTCCAGTATGAACTTCTCGTACTCCCTCTTGTCTTGTATAGAGGTCCAACACCTACGGAAATTTCACGATCAATATCTGCGTTCGATAAAAATCTAACCAAATTCTATTTAAACTTACTTCCAAATCAGTAAACATGTGACCAGGATAATGAAAACTGCTCCAAATATTATCGTAAATGAAATGGTTGCTGTATTTATTTGAATTTTACATATCTGAAGATATAAAACAAAGATTTTTAAAAATAAAAATTATAGCAACAATATTTTACATAAACGTGTACCTTATCCCCGATCTTCAAAGTGACGGTATTGTTCTTCTGGAATTCGTATACGTACGGTATGTGACAGATAGTTTTCTCTTTCACCGACACCGCAATGCAATAATGCTCGTTTGCTGAAACAGACAATCAGCTCATCAACTACTTTATCATAGTAATTGCTTCTTCCAATTTACCTGCGTCAACAGACTTCACTATTTCAGTTTTATAAGTAGTGACATTCGTTTGACAGAACTCGTTCACCCTATCTGGTTCATTTATCGTTGCATTGGCGCATGAATTATAAAGAACGCAGAGGCCACTACCACCGGTACTGATCGTTGATTCACAGTAGGTACCTCGATAATACAGTTCGTCTAGCGCAGTAACGTTGCACCTAAACACCAGATGTCTTTATATATCTATAAAAGAAGAATATTTTCCTCATAGATAAAAGACACCAACCGACACTCTCCACAATCACAATATCCATGACCAGAGCAAACTTCTTCAGTTCCGGGCGCGATACAGAGATCATCAGTCGATGGACACTGACAAGCATTCCCTTGCCAACCCTCTATGCACTGGCAGACGCCACACTGACAAGTGCCTTGATTCGAACACTCGATTCCATCGATCTGCAAGAGGAAGATTTACTCGATTTTTAAAGAGTATAATTATTTTTAAATATTATTTAAGAGTTCAGATTTTGAATAGATTCAGAATTCAAAAAATACTCATTACCTTATCACAATCTGTGCACTCACAAAACTGCCCTTTGTACCCTTCGTCGCAAAAGCACTTTCCACAGACACACTCACCCCTTTCGGAGCAAATTTTTGTCGAATTACGTTCCATGCACTGCAACACGTTATTCACGAGAGAACTTTCATCACATTTGCATGTTTCACCTATGAATTTCATCAAGATCAGTGGTCTTATTGCAGAAGAAGAGTCTAAAGTGTTCTTCTTACCAGACCAGCCGAAATTACACTTGCACAACCCACATTCGTTCGTCCCGTGCTCGCAGTGAGAATCTTCAGAATCTTTGCAGTTGCAACCGCATATAAGATCTACGTCGATTACTACTTTGGATACTTCAGAGGCTAATGCATCCTCGATCACAACAGTTTGTTTCTAATAACAATCAGATATTATCTTCATACTGCAACATACAGAGTGTCCAAGCAACACCTAAATACTTTTTTTATTCTTAATGAAATGAGAAATGTTTAAAACACAGTTTTTATGGTTTCGGTGACCTTGAAAAAATTCGAAAAAAATGTCTAAAAAATTTTCCTTCCTTCTTCGAAAAAATTCATATTGTGTTTTAAACATTTCCTATATCATTAAAAACAAAGAAGATATTTAGGTGTTCGGCTTATGTTTGGACGCTCTGTATATTGTTTACATTAATTTATCATTTTCATGTACCCATTGGTTCTCATCTGCTGGACATTTATCAATGGATAGAACCACATTGAAGTCGTACACCTGACCCTCCTGAATGTCGTCGCACTCTGAGTTGTTATGCTCAGAAGTATCTTTCCTAGTGCAGTTAGAAAAGTACTCCACGCGTAATGGACTGGACGAGTTATCGCGTAAGATTACTTTTGAAGTGATCTGATGATAAGAGTTTTCGATAATCTCCAGAATATTAGAGCTGTCGCTGGATAAAGTAGCAACACGCGCTTTCTCTTGCAGCAACGCTGCCGTTAGCTCATATTCAAGGCGTCGATCCTCGGTCACCGCGAATATCAAGTTAATTTTACGCTTCTGTAATAGTCTTGATAATTCTGCAAGCGAGGGATAATCGAAATTCGTGGCTTGAGAGTACTGTTTTCGCTCATCGAGGTGGCACTTGAAGTCTGGACGCTTCACAACACCGCCTAGCTGATCAATTTGTTGGAAGAAAATTATTATTTAGTATTGGAATATATTTTATGACTGTGAGTCTATCGTGAACGATGAATGGTATTCTTTATTACTAGACAATTGTAATATACAGCTCTAAAATCATTTCACAAAAAGTGAAAATTTACATATTCATACATAGTTTTGGTATAAGAAGGATAGTATTAAAGTACAGGTAACCCCTGTATAACATGGTTTCGCTCTAACACGGTTCGAGAATTGGGGAAAACCCTCGTGCAACACGGCATCCTAGAACACGGTTTCACTCTAACACGGTTTGAGAATTAGGGAAATACCCGAACAATATGGAACATAATAAGAGCTTTTAAAAGCAAAAAATATTTCATTTGAAATTAGGGAAATCCCCGAACAACACGGAACATAATAAAAGCTTTTAAGGTATCTCATTTGAAATTTTTCATTCGAGCGTGGATGTCGTATCGGATTTGACTGCAGAATTTTAAGATTTATTAGACTTTTAAATTAGTATTATTCAACCTTTTTTAAAGAAATAGTAATTATGCTTTCCATTTATGTGAATTAATTTGTAGCCTTGAACTATGTCTGGCGGAAATAAAGTAATACATATTATTTTTATTTAATACATATTAATATGTTATACTTTTGATGAAAATTGCTTTAATAAAGATATTTCTCTTAATTATAAAAATATAATAGCATGTTTTTTTTTCATTTTTGGAACCTAACAATCGTGTTATACGGGGATTACCTGTATGCAAATTATATGAGAGTAATGTAACAGCCTTACTGATTGGTTTATTTATTACCTTTCCATCACCAGCGAAGTGCAAACGTCCATCAGTAGCCACCAGAATAATCTTCCTCGCCTGTGGCGCCCAACCGACTTCATCTGTGCAGAGAATAGATTGCATCAGACCATCCAGTGCTCCTTCTAAATTATCCACGTTGCCGGTAACCAAACTATTATTCACCTGAAATTCATCTTATTCTATCCTCTCTGATTTCAATTGGTTTCCAATTAGAAATTAACACGTACTTCTTTGATGAATTGTTCAGTATCATAGGTCAGTCTCAAGTGGTGCCAGTAAGAGTAAAGTGGTGAACAAACAGCATGCTCGCTTCTACAAGGATTATCTTCATGTCCAGGAAAGGTCATTGGCATAAGTGGTTTGTCAGCGTAGCTGCCGAATCCTAGACGAAAATCATTGGTAATCTTGCCAAAAGTATTGCTCATGTTCCATCCTAAGCTGACCAGAGTGTCCTTGTCATCCTTCATTGACCATGTTAGGTCCATCAAGTAATACAAATCCAGTGGATAGTTTCTACATTATTTTGTATCGTTTAATTCCATTTAATATTCTCATTCATGAAACAAGCCGTTCATGGAGATAAACAAACGTATATATATATATACTTGGCCAGTCGATAATGAATGGGAATCATGATCTTAGAGTGGGAGGAGATCTTGACTTTAATTCTCTGCGGCCTCAGTTGAATGGGTGTTCGTCCTGCTGCCATATCCTGAAAGTTCGAGTTTTCCAAAACCTCCTTTGATCCTGAAGAAGTGGTACGAATCTCCTCTGTTGGACAACCGAATAGCTCCAATCTCTCTGGCACGTTGCATCGCGGTCTTCCCAGCGTAGAGTTCGAGTAAGACTGTGTAGGACATTGTAGTGTAAAACGTTATTTTTCAAGGGATATTGTTTGTCACTGACTGTCTTTTCTGACTATAGATCAGTTCACGTAAGGAAGAGAGACGGAAAGGAATAGATCAAAAAGCGTTAGTAGATTTCCTTTTAATTTACGCGTCTTATCTCCTTATAACTGAAAGTACACGTGGTAACACATAGTAGCGTTAGGTGGAAGTTAAATTCAGTGATGTAACAGATTTATCGCTGTTGAAGAGGAATCTTGGGACATTTACCCAGTCGCTGCACCAAGCACAGGAGGAGCTTGCCTGAAGACAACTCTCACACGTCTTCTGAGAGATGCACAGTTTTAAGATCTTCATGCCTACTGCGTCAGAAGTTCTCCACTCTTGAGAGAGAAGAATCACGAGCACCAACTTCCCGAAGATCCTCATCTTCTTAGTGGAAGATCAGATCGAAGTGAACGTTTAGCAGTTAATTTGACTAGATCCGATTTTCCCCAGGAAATTCTTGGTCTACGATATAATACTTGGTTCTTTTCCTCTTATTTTCGCGATAATCGACACAAAATTCGAAACACGACTCGCGCAATCGTCACATACAGAATCTAAGCGTAACTATTCCTGTTATCTACACCATGATAACGACGCACCGGCAGTTACCGTTTTGAAAAAATAAGGTTGAAGATTGCGTGGATGTGATATCGCTTCGTAATAGTGGAACGATCTTATCTTCCAAACCAATTAACGATAGATACGATATCGAGCAATTAAGCAGAATTCTTCTTTAATGTTTACTATAGTGTTTTTCACACTGAACTACTCTACCGATGAAGCATTGCTGAAGAATAGATGACAACTAATGCTGTTACTATTTCTAGTTGTAAGCTAACATTGTCCACTGTGTCATCTATATATGCTTGATAGACAGTATCAATACTGATATGTACGGGGTGTCTCGATAAAAATATGTTAAAAATTGTGCAGATTCATATGGCCAGATGACCTACTTCTCCAGAGAAGAGTAACGACGATTTTTGTTCGATTTCAAATGAATGCCAATTATCAATTGAAATTTTACTTTAATTCTCCCAGCATTTTTACGTAACAGCTTATTTTTTCTTTTTTTACCCTTTTTTAACACTCTTGACTTCTTAATTCAAAAGTGAGAAGAAGTTTTCGTTCCATGTAAAAAGCAAACTTGAAAATATCTTTGATCTTTACATACGCTCAATATTCATGCCAGACGTGGAAAGTGTGTCCATCCACTTGAGAATATCTCAATTATGCGATGACGAGTGTGCTATCGCGCGCATATCATTATACTTATAGCAAAGATTAGAAAGAGTATCAAATAATTTACTCTGCCCCGCTGATAGATTGTAAAATGGTAAATATTCTTCAATGTAAATGATGTTGATCAGATGTAAGAGAAAACGTGTGATCATTGTTTATATTTAGATGTACATTTCCTGGTATTTAGATAGATATATCGGGCATGGATACATGTCAGCTTGTACACTCTAATGCGATTGCAATGTATCGTTTGTGCAATGCGTATCTTGTTGTGCGTGCATTTCGTTGACATAGTAACTGGAAGGAATAAAAACGATCGTTGTGTATCATTCCTTCCTTGAAACCAGTATGTTATCAGCTTATGACATAACTGTGAGATCGTTTCTTCGGATGATATATCTGTTATTTTTATTCGATGTTTCTTTTACTCCACATTTCATATATATTTATATGTATGTATTAGAAAAAAGTGCACATTTTTTTTTAAAGTCGAAGTGTTTGTATAAAAAGTTTGAGGTAATAGCGAAAGTCGATCATTTTGCATCACATGTTTTCTAATATCTTTATGCATCAGATGTTAGGCATTAATTGAACAATTTTTAGTGTTATTAGGTCGTTAATCATGAAAAATTATATTGGTCAAGCGATTTGTAAAATTGTTCTAGAGTTTGATGTTCATGAATAATGCGGAAGAGTAGAATATTTGATTTTATTACAATGTTCAGTTATAAAACAATCATTCTTTGTATCAGGGAAGACATATGGCACTGTATGTTTCAAATTGGGTCAAATCGTAAAAATGACACAAACTTTATTTCTTTTGCGTGATATTCGCGAATTACTTCGCGACAATTGGTCCAAATATGTTACATGGGGTTGATAAATATACACGTTGTTCATTCCTTTACAACCATAGGTTACTAATTACAAATAAAAAAACCTTAGGCTATTCTTATGCTAGTACGGAACGTACAATTGTTCATTGTATCACATAGTGCCGATTACAGAAATTGTACCCGTGTCATTTGGACCAGTGTTTCCTCTTAAAACACTCTATAAGTAATTATAACATCTCATTGTTATTGTACGAAAACATTAAAAATTATATAACATCTGTCGAAATTGTATAATACTTTTCCAAAAGATATAATACGCTGTTTACGATTTTACAATATCTTTCAAATCTTTACGTCTATTCGCGTCATTGTTTCACAAAAACGTGGCTAAAAAAGAACACCAAAGTACATTTTCCATGAAATTAATCTCCTTCTCCATAAGACTTGAGTCCTTTGAGGCTGTCTTTGCTTGGAGAATAAACCTACTACTTTCCACCTTCTCATTTCACGAGACTTGCCTCAATTTTGCGCAATAACTGGCTCGGGAACAAGCTCATTTTTGAAACGAGTTTTGCACAAGTGTACTTCGTAATAACATGACCGTTATCGATATTACTTGATACGAATATTCGCTAGAAAGTTCCATAATTCCTACAGGCGCGTTGTTTAACTGAGACCAAGGAAAACGATAGAAAATATGATCTGGGATATGTTTCTTGCGAACAGATTGAACACGAGATTAAGGTTTCCTCTCGGAATTGGAGATACGTTTGGTTAATTGCTGGTGAATGTTCACGGTGTCAGATTTTTTGGGTAACACAGTGGGAATCACTTCTTTCTTAGGGGCAGGAGTTGTTGTTGTGTTGCAACCGAGTGTGTTCGAGACTATACCGCGGATGAACATTCCCGCGACAGTCCATGGAAAGGCCCTACAAACATTAAAAAATATTTGTAAAGTAAGCTTAATAAAACATATAAGCTTTTAACATCAGCTTTTAGCATAAACATGTAAGCTTTTTGTTTTATTAAAATTATATTTATATTTGAAAATTTTTACCATTTTGCAACGAGAAGAATATAAAGGTAACCAGGCACAACGGCGATCTTCTCATTGCATCTCATGGCGGACACAACTCGGTCGGCCACTTCGTTCGGGCTGAGCCTTGGAAAAAATCTGAAGAACAAAGTATATACGGATGTATGAACATAAAGACTCGTACAATATTATTCATGGAATCGACGGAAGGAAGATGTTATACCTAGGCGAAACGTCCTCGAACATGCCTGTGCTTCGAATGAAGAATGGACATATCACCGTGGTATTAATATTGTACCCTTCAGCCTGAAAAATATGACGAATAATTTGTAGGTATATTTATATAAATGAACCTATAATATCGATATAAAAAATCGATTAACTTGCCGCTAATTCCATATGAAGAGCCTCTTCAAATCCAATAGCTGCAAACTTCGACGTACAATAATCCACTAATCGTGGTACACCTAAATGCCCAGCCAGGCTAGCAATGCTCACGATATGTCCTTTATTGCTCTCCATCATGGAAGGCAAAAATGCCTTTGTCGTCTTAAAAAAAAAAAGGGATGAATTACAATTTTTAATAACTCTATTAATAAATGCAAATTGTTCCATTACAAAATAATATATTAATGTATATAAGTGAAAAAATATAGTTGCTTCTCTGTCTGTAGCAATTTAAATATCTTTTCACATTTTTTGGTCCTCCATGGAACGTGATTGATCAGTCAGACTTTAATGCACGAGTACCATGTATTGAACACACTCGGCTACTTTATTCAGTACAAACGTTCGATGTTTACTCCTAACATCCATGTGTCATTACCATAAATAAATATAATTGTAGCATATGTGGTAATTTGCAAATACACTCTAGTAGAGTTATGTGTATAGGACGGGGGGACACCAGTCGACTGTGGGAAGTAATTGAGATCCTATCGATACAACCGTGACATCGAATGCAATAAGGGGTCCACGACTATGCTACTTCGAAACGACCCACTTCTCCAATCTATTTTCTTCCCTGTACTATAACCCTAGTTTTCACTTTCGAAAGTAAAACTGTCAACGCGTAATATGGCGTGTAACAGCGTCGGAACAAAGTCCAAAACTAAACGATTCGAGGCTTCGAGTTTTTTGAAAGTCACACACGTAAGATTCTTGACTAAATAAGAATTTCATTGCGGTGTGGGATCGATAAAATTCCGAAACATGTGGAAACACGAGGTGCAATTACACGTCGAAATATAATTATAATGAAAGGTGTCGCCAAAAGAGAGATTAGTTTCGAACATGCAGACCTTGTCCCTCTTTCAACCTCACCTTCTTTTTCTTCTTTTCTTTTATTATCAGGTTCTTACATTGCCATATTAAAAATCAATGACGAAACAGTGCCTGCAAAACTGGACACGCTATAATTTTTCTTCTCCTTTCGTACTGTTAGCTCTACTAACATTCGTATGAATACTGTTGACGCCCCGTGTGGATGATGTCCCCGTATACTTTCACTCCGTATCCCGTTACGTCGACCAATCTCTCGCGAAATCGTCGCTATTAGTATTTCTGTCGAGAAAAAAAAAGCTCTGGCTAGATGTACCTAACCTATAATGACGGACAATGTTGTCATGGATGGCTATGGAAAGTCTCTACTACTTGAAGATTATTTCTCGTCCATTAGCAAGCAGCATTTCGAGAATTGAACGTGCAGTATGTAATTGCTTTTTCAACCATATGTGTAAGTTAAGGGGACTGTATTGGGGAGCTGAACGAGCTATAGCTGCATTTGGCAAGCGTGCCCCTCGCGTGTTGCAACCGCGAATGTACCGCAACAGCATGGATGGCTGGCTGCATCTATCTGACCGGTTTTCTAACCTGACCCACGGCAACAATCCTAAACAGAGGGAACATGAGAATGCCTCTCACTTGGACCTGTCGTGACTCGTCTTTGAAACTCAAATCGTGGACCTGACCTGGGATCCTCTTCTATTGAGACGAGGTTATAGAGTTTAGTGGGACTTTTTGAAGGACATTGGATTTTTTATAATATACAATACGGGTATTTTTATGTGTGTTTATTGCATTGTAGAGGAGTGGAAATTTTTGTAGAATAAGGTTATGTTCCAAGGAGAAGAGATTTATCACAATTACGTCATTTATGATATTTTTGTGTTAGTGCTGGATACAAAAGACATGTAATGTAATTTTTCCACTGCTTCAAGCATTCCCACGGCATTCACAAAATAAATTACAAAAGACAGGAGGCGGTAAAAAAAAAAGTAACAGAACAATAATATAGACGTACCCAAAAGTGGCTCATTACGTTTACATCCATCGTGCGGATAATGAGCTTGTCCGGCGTGTCTATAAACCTCATGCCGCTCGCCACACCGGCGTTGTTTATCAAAATGGTCACCTGTAACATAATCCACGTGCATATTACAATCGATTATCTCATTCAGCTTCGATCGAAAATGCTTTCCTAACTTATTTGCTTGCTTAATGGAGATTAAATTAAGGTGATTTAAAGCATCGATCTGCCATCGTTAAAGAGAAAACACAACATTAGCTTGGCTACATGCGAAATTTCATATTCCTCCAAGCTTTTGAAACAGATCAGACAACGATTGCATCGTTATGGCGTAACATGGGGTTTTGCAATACTTTGTCCCTAGGAGCGAGAGTATCGCGAAATACGCGAGTATCGACTCTCGAGGCCTTCGATCTTGCAAACACATTTCGCTATGGCGCGCCCTTGTCAACATGAATTTATATTTACGGACAGTACAATTGCGCTTGCAACACTGTGAAGTGTCTGTTCGCGGTCCAGAAAATTGGCCATTTTTGCATAATTAGTGTGTTTTCGCTAATTGGTACTGCGGTTGAATTTAATGTGGATATTTCGATGACGAAATATGAATATTTTATGACAGATTTAAGAAACTGATTATTCTTCTTGATTCAACATCTTGCTCAACGCTTTGATGATCTTTTTACCCAAATCTATTCGTGGTCAAGAAAATAAAATATTTTTTATACTAAAAAAGCGAATCACAGAGGATCATTAAGGCTAATACTATGGAAAAATTTATAAAACATTTATTGCTTGACCGTCCAAACAATGTCGTGCATTATTTTACAGTTAATAGCGCAATTAAGTTTAAGGAATTCTTGAGGAACATCTGAAATGGAAAGGTTGAATGTCTCCGTGTTATTGATCTCTAATTATTCCATATATTATGTGATTCTCACCTTCCCAACTTCTTCCTTAACCAGTTTTGCTTTCTTATAAACATCTTCTCTGTCACATAGGTCGCAGACATAACCATAACAAGTGCCACCTATAGCCTCCACCAGCTTGACCGTTTCCTCTGTGCCTTAAACAAGAAGAAACTTGTTATTAATTTCAATATGGGATTTCGGTTATCGAACTGCAGCCTCCTCGATCTGCGTTTCTTCTCACGAACTTGTTTCGTAACGCAGCATTTTATGGAAATGAAACTGGAGACGCCGTTGCATTTCTCTCGCCTCTCTGAAGTTTATAGAATTTACGTAGGCCAGCGTTCGACATTGTCACGCGCAAGAAGAGCCGCCAGCGGCGGGTAATGGTGGAATACTAGGTCGACAGGTAGAGAACACCTGTTGCGGACGATTAATTTTGCGGCTGCTTCTTTCTTTCAGCTATTCGTAGCTCTAGATATTTCAAATTCTACTATATATATAGTAATGGATATTTGAAAAATGTTTTAATTGGAGAAATTTTGCTGGTTTGCGAACAACAAATTTTAGATAATTTCTGTTTTCTCTGTTCTTTATTGTTTAACGTTTCATTCTTTTCACTCCACATGCTTAATTTGCAGCACAACTCAAAATTAGGAGATCATTTCTACAGATACCATATTACGAAAAACTTTAAAATATAAAATTCACGTTTTATTCACATTCTTTTCTTTTCCAAATAAAACTTCTCGTTTTCAAAAGTTGCAATGCAAAAGTGTGTTAGAGTTGTTGGTCGAAAGGTTAATATTACAAAATTGAAACACCAATCTATCTAATTTATATTTATTCTGTTCCCTACAATTCTCCAAATAGCCTACACTATTGCGTTTGACAAAGAGTAACTTTTTCGCGGGTAGAAAGCCGAGGCACACAGAGGCAGTCTCGCTTCTTGACCAAGTGGTACGCGTGCTCACGTAGAATATGAAAGATAATTGCAAAACACGCGGAATATCCTGTTCCCCGTGATTTTACATTCCGTTCAATTTTTCCAGTTTCGCAATCACTGTACCATCCGAACAGAACTCACAAATTCTTGTATACTATCTGCTTTTGATTTGATTAGGATCATGTTCGACCGTCTCGGTTACCACGTGATTGCCAAATTGCGCAACCTATAGGGGGAAAATATGAGCAGTGGCGATGTGGAAATCGTGAACGGGCGATCGAACCGAAAAGGACGCTGGAGAACCTGAGCTCGCGAATACCGCGGCGGTCGCGTGAAATTCCATTCTTTTCGAACAATCAACCAGTTTGCCGAGCCGATCGACCAGATTTACGCTGATGGCCTTGAATGACGCGCCTCTTTGCTTTTCTCGACGCTATCCCTGTCCCCTGTGCCTTTAATCCACGCTTTTAAATGTCTCGCGAGCGTCAATTGCAAAGATACATTATGCAACGAAAGTTCCAGGACTCAGATTGCAAAAATGTTTGATTTTTTTTTAACTTTGAATATTTTAGACATTTGACGTCGCTCGGCAAGGTTCCCAATTTATTAAAGTAGGCATGTTTTCCTTTTTACTCTCATCCATTCCGCCTCAATAAATTATTAAATTTAGAATCCTGAAATTCTTGTTACATACTTTAAGGCCTCTCGTGATGTGTATTCTGTGTTTTAAAACATTTAACGAGTTGAAAGAGACAAGTAATTAAAAGTATTCTTAGAAAATTCTTGTAATAGAGATGCACAGTATCTAGAGAATGTGTACTTATGTAGATAAGGGACTCTGATATTATCCTAAAGAAGAAGCTACTTTCAATGGTACCGTTCATAAATATTAGAACACCTAGTATGTTTGTACAGAAAGTATTATATAATTTAAATTACATTTTATCGCCAGATTTAGTACTAAATGTCAGCAAAAATGTATATATAGGCGGTGGAAGAAATATAGCGAAGTCATAAGATCGGTACTATCCGTCACATACATATACACTACCGTCCAAGAGTTTGGAATCACTTCCGACTTTTCATCAGTATTAAATCTGCTGCTAATTTTTTATAGATTTGAAGTTTATCTCAATTCTACTTTTATCAATTTATCTCATATCAATTGATTCGAATGATAAAAAATTCTCAAAGTCGCTGACTTTCTTCTGAAAATTTTTGTGTAAATTGCAATGCTCAATGCTCCAAACTTTTGGCCGGTAGTGTATGTGATGCCAGTAACCAATGTGTTAATGCTTTAATATACGACCTCGCTATATTTCTTCCATCGACTATAGTCATTGCATTACGAGATTATAAGTTGAATGTTTTTTTTCGGTTCTTCATAATTTTATAATCGCTGTATAGATTTGCTTCAGATTCAGTAAGTGTGCTAATAATTATGAATAGAAGTGTAATTAGAAATCTTCATAAAAAAACCTTCCACTGTCTTCTTGCTCTCGTTTCATCGTTTTTCACATAACAGAGATGAAAAAAAATCACGAGATGATCCAAGAATCAGGCTTTAAGATCGCGGTCGGCTCTTGTCATGCGGCGCTTCACTTTCAACGACACGTGTTCCGCTTGCAAACAACAAATCGTACCGGCGGCCGAGTGCAGTCCGTTCCACGATCAACATTCCGCCCACGCGGGGCCAAGTTTCTGATTGGCGACGTTTAAAATTCATCAGGCGGGTTTCCTCTGCCCGTGAACCCGCGTGGTCCCTCTCTTTTTGCTGCGATTAATCTCCTCGTGATCCTTATCGATTTTTTATTCCGTCGTTCATCCGCTGGATTGCCCAATACACGTCATCGTACGGTTCCCGTTACGATTTTCACCTTGGACATTCCAGAAATTCGTAAAAACACTTAAAATTCTTTCTTTCCTATCTAACCTTTTAATTCATAGTATATAAATGATAAAGGAAGTGGTCATACCTTTGATGGACAGTTATTACATTCAATGCCGACATATTTTTCAAATTCTAACCTCGCTTGAAAAACATCCAGAGATCGTTAGAATGGTAAAACAGGGTGACGTGTTTTTTGCCTGTGTTTTTGTGTTTCGAGGCTCATATTCCACAAAATCGTCGTATATAAAAGAATGGACAGCGAACCGCTGGACGCTGAAGGTCAACGGAAGGTACATTTTCTCGACTACGTTCTGTCGAGGTCATTAACACGGTTGAACTTGACCAGGGGATACTGAAATGTCGGTTAACAGTTCGTTGTGCGAATATTTCTTCGACAGATCGCGAAGTTGCAACGAGTTACGTAAGGAATAGATTCTCATTTGAATTTCCTCTGTCGAGTTATTGAAATGATCGGATATTTCTTTTAATGGCACAGCAGTAATTACGATGAAGCAACATCGTGTTCTTTTCGTAATTACACTGTTTAAAAGATTATGTAATGTATTTTCAGCTTAGTATTACACACTCGTGGTTACGTGAGAATTTGATTAATAGTTCTACGGAAAATATCAGTAAGATATTGTACTACGAAATTGTCGAATTGTCTCGTGCTTAAAAATATTTTTCTATTCACTTTTTTTAATTCGTTCAAAAATCTAATTTTCTTTTTATAATAAGGGCTACAAAATAGGTTATTTCTGTCAAACGTGATGCTGCGCATGCGCAGAGCCAAATTCAAAGAGAAACAGTAGTTAAATACAATTTTTAAAAAATTGTTTGGCATCTTTTGTATTTAACCATTTATTTTTATAAAATTATTATAAAATAAAGAAGATTAATGTGCTTAAAATAAATGTGCTTACGAGTATGTTGCAAGAGATCGAAATAAGGGGTGCCAATTTTCGCCAGGTGATTCGATATCGAATTGCCAGTTGCATCAGATGGTTATCAATGATTACACGCGAAACGAGTATTCGCACTTTTTCTCTTGGCGATTGCGAGATATCGTGAGCAACGATGCATGACAGAAGCCCGCGGTTAGGAAACTTTGCTTCGAGCCAGGAACAAAAACCTGAACGACGACGCCTTTTCCGGCCAAGGTTCTCAGACTCTTTAACTTTGTGACAAAGGTAAATTCTGTCTTTTACTTTAGCTTGTAGCGTTTTACAGTTATTTGCCGTTTTATGTATGATTGTGAAAACTTGAAGTAGCATTCTTCTGTAACAGCGGAAATTTTGTAAGGCGAGCAAAACAGACGTTCAATTTCCATAAATTAGGAAAACAGGAATTTTAAAGAAGCTTCTACTGCAAAGAATTAATAATCTATACAAAACAGAAAGTGTTACCAGTGTCTTAGTATGGATGAAATTTCACGCAACAGCAAACCTGAACTAATAAGTAATAATACATCGAAGAATAAACAAATCGTCGCAACTATAACTTTTGTACGTAAACGTATCTATTTATCGTAAAATTCTCATACAGCACGATATATGTGTACATCAATTTAATGTTATTACACCAGAAGATCGACAAGAAGTTCTATTAGAGGGTCTTCTTACATTAAACATTATTCAAGAACCTGGACGTCCTCCAGGCATGACACGTCAATTAAAAATTAAAAACAATCCGCTACGTAAGATCCACGATACACGTTCGTATCCCTAATAGGTAGGTTATGTTGAAGCTTCACTGTTAATTAAGTCCCTAGGCAAACAATTGTGCCGGTGATTACGAAATAAGTCGTATTTCATACTTTCGTTCATTCTTACCAGAAAACACGGATAAATCGGAATTTTGATTTTCGACATTGCAAGTGTGAGGAAGAAATAGTAAAAATTGTAAGAATTTATGTCTTTAGACCACGTTCATAATCAACGACACAATTAGCCATTCGATTTCCTTTTCAACGAATATCCATTCGCGACGTCGCTCGTTATCGTCTCCATACGAAAAGAAATCGCTACTAACTCTCACAACTTCCCTCTCTTTTGTTCCATTCGAAAAGATCAAACGAAGAGAATAAAAGAAATCAAGATCGGTGTGGTATCGGCAGTCCTTTTTTTTTTTATATTCAAGCCAGGATGAAAGCAAGGACGCGTCGTAACATTTGAGGAATCGGGCATCGTGAATGTGCTTCGATCATGTTACATTCGAAATCCAAGCACGCCTAGTATGGCCTTGAAATTCGGATGTTGAGAAGAGCAGAGCGATTCACGCGATGTACGAGCGTAATTACCTCGTGGACGACATCGAACCGGCGTCCTTCGTATTCCGGTCGAGGCTCTCAAGCTTCGTGGGTAGTCTGATGAAGAGTTTAATAAGGATTTACCCTTTGATGTCTAATACACGATACAAACGAAGATAGTAAGCATTGAATGCAACATGTTGTCTATGAAGGTATAATTTTTTGAAGTTAGCTGAAATAGAAATTCTGAAGGAAGATTGCGATTCGTGAAAAAATTAATGCATTGTTTAATTAATAAAAATCGATAGGAAGGTTAAGTATTTAATTTGATTTTATATTGATTGTTCAAGTAGAATTAAAAATCCCTAAACAAGTGAATCATTGAAAACCATTTCTAACATGTGAATTTCTGTTTCTTAATAGATCAAAGTTTTTCGCGATGGAAGCTTGAAATTTGGTATTACTATTGTATGCATAATTCTTACATACTATATCTGGGTGAGTCACGAAGAATAGAGCAGACCTCCAGAAAGTTTTCCATGGTGGAGCATTGTTGGAAATTTGGTTAAAGATTCATGAGATGGGACCATGAAGACGAAACGTTGATCACGTATAATGTGCGACGCGTCGTACACCCGTTGCATTGAATTAATTTTTTGTTACCCGAAAATAATATTTTTTTAAAGGAATATTTAAAAATTGTCCTTTAAAAGCAGACACACTTGTGATTAAATTATGTAAAGGTTATAACGGTGCTCTCAGTCAGAGTAGTTTTTTGTCACTTAAAAAGACGTTGAATTACGTCAGATCTTTGGAGTCCTGTTTCTTTAAATATTCCACCTGTCAGGTGAAGTGTTCCATCGAATAAAAATATTCTGTCTTAAGTTTGGTATACTAACCCACTCACTAACAATGATAATTATTATTGAAAAATAAATTACTCACCTATTCAAACATTACAAAGATCAAGATGATATCTGTTGAATTCATGAATGTTTAAATCATTGCAAATTTGACTACTCGATTGATTAATAATTTTTTTAAATAATTCACGTGCTGTTCAAAATCGGAGGTCATTAATCGTTAGAAAACTAAATCACTGTAATTCTGACATCGAGTCTTAGAAAATATTTCATTGCTGTTGCCCAATCAACCTGTGAGAAGCAACAATACTCAGTCTTCGCACTTGTCAGTGATAGCAGAAGGCTCAGAGCTCGCTGAAAACTTCGTCTTAAACTGATTAGCGCAGTTAGAGAGTTTTCTGTTTTATGTCACCTTCTATCTTTAGCGACTATATGCAATCCAGTCGATCATTATAGATTTCATGGCTACTTTGTATTTAGTTTTACGTGAACTTTTTGCTTTAAACCCTGACCTTTCCGAGTTGCAGGTATTTAAAAGAGAGAATTACGAATTTTGGAAGAATTCCACAGCGGTAAAATTCAACATGAAAAAGAGTAACAGCAAATTCTTAGGATTCTAGACACTTTGGTTTTTCCTTACATCTAATTTTGCTCGCCTTTACTAATTACATTAAAATGATTTTCTTGACTTTCATTTAGTAGTCAATATCTAAAAAAAAAAAAAATGAAAAAAGAAAGATTCATTCACAAGAGAACTTTGGTAACTCGAAAATTTCGAGTTTTTTGAAACTTTGCAGGTTTGTAAGGGACCACAAGAGAAGTATCAGGCAATTTTTTTTTTGCCCTTTTTCGGTTCTTCGGGGTGAAAACAGCCGGGGTGGAAACAGCCCTTGAATGGAGATAAGTGTTACCATATTTCCCTGTATATCTTTGAAACTATAGTAGATGTTAAAAAATATTTGTAATAAAAATTTGATGGCTTTTTGTGCCTTATAAGATGATGCTATTAAATTAATAAAAATTGTTTGCTTAAATAAAAAATCTTCCACCTCCGTTATTGTGAAAAATTTGGAATTTTCTGTAAAATCGAAAAATATGTCAAATAAATGCAGATAAATATACTAAATATGTTAAACTTATCGAATTATGTAAAATTTAAATAATTTTAATCGATACGTGCTTTTTGTGTCGTCTTCATTGCACTTTCAACGGTGAGTTATCAGTTACCAAGTATGTGTATGTACGTAAGTATGTGTATTTTTATTGATTTAATAGCATCATCTTATAAGACATAAACAGCCATTAAATTTTTATTATAAACATTTTTTTATATCTATTATAGTTTTAAAGATATGCAGGGAAATAGGGTAACATTTATCTTCATTCAAGGGCTGTTTTCACCCCGAAGAACTGAAAAAGGGCCAAGAAAAATTGTCCGATACTTCTCTTGAGGTTCCCTACAAATCTGCAAAGTTTCAAAAAAATCAGAATTTTCGGGTTACCGAAGCTCCCTTGTTAGTTTAGTTATATAAAGTATTCATATGTATATAAATTCAAAATTTAAAGGGTCATAAGTATGAGTGAGCGCCAGTTCAGGGGTAAACCAACATCCAGCACCAGATTTCCACGCAAACACCCAAAATATACAAGAGATTCTTGCTCACCAATCTTATTAACGTCCCAGATGACCACGATGGCGCCCAGTTTGGCCAATCTGAGGGCGATCAACCTTCCCAGACCTCCGCCGCCCCCAGTGACCAACGCGATCTCCCCAGCAATGCTTTTCATTCTATATTTCATTGGTATGAACAATTTAACGATGCTCTCGGCGATCGACACCACGGTGAGGATCAGAAAACCGATCAAATCACCGATGGACCTGAGAAACGACATGGCTGCCACGTTCTTCCGGTCAGATCCTCGATTATCTTCAATTTATGGAGCGTTTTGTCGCAACACGCAACTCTTCTGTGATTCGACGACTTACGATCGATCAGGATATCATAGCTCGTCGTCACAGAGGGTATGCGTGTCTGTTAGAGCCTTCCGGAAGGGCGGTGCTATCACTACAGCTGGAAACTGGATGATGCTGACTTGAACAACGCCTTTGTATTCAATTTTCAATTCTGAAAGTCATAATTATCATATTCAAATAAGGAATGATCAAGATTAATATTGATATTACTTATTAAAAGTTTTTAAATCATAGGATATGGTATCTGCAAGATTATCTATGAAATTGGACCTGTTTATTGTTGATGGTAACATGGTTAAACAGATTTTAATTCAGATTAATAAAGAAACGAAGGTTGAATGTTTTTATGCAATTAATGTACAATTAATTGTACACCTTATTTATAAGGAAATTCTGCTGGTTGCTCGAAACTAGTAGAATAAGACGTAAAGTCGGTGTAGAAACTAGTGTACGCTTTCTCCAAATTTCGTATCACTTTCTTCTTGCAATAAAGGGGTCGTCCTGGGGCACAGATAATCGCGCAGGGATCTAAGATGTTTCCCTAATTTTCTTCCTCTACAAGAACCTTCTTTAACCGAAAGCCAACCAAAAAACATGCGCTAAGGAACGAATACGAAATTTTTGAAGAATCCTAAATGTTACAAATTGACAAAGTAAAATCTACAACAATAATGTGTAGTAAAACAAAATTTTGCAATGGGATAAATACAAAATTTCTGAAGAATCCTATTAGACAAAGTACAATTTACGACAACAGTATCGTGAAAGAAAATCTTCTGACTAAAATATGAAAGTGACTGAAAAATCTGCTAAAACGATTAATAAAATGTCAATTTCAATCATCTTTCTATTATTCTAAACGATCTTTAACTCACGATTTTCCCGGTGATTAACGTTGCAATGAGCCACGAACATCCAGCATCAATTCACTTTCTAACGAGACGCTTCAGTTCACTTTCGATTTTCAACCGTTGGAGGAGCATCGTTTTTCGTATATATCACCCGTTATCAGACGATCGTTGGAGCACAGTAACTTATGTGTGTACATATGTATGTATATACGGCGAGTACAGAGAAACACGTTATCGTTACGCGGAATCGTTTCATAAAAGAATAAGGAACCGGTAACGAGAAAACGAAATCGGCCTATTTTTTTGTTACGTTCGCTAGTTTGTTGTGAACCAGACAGGAAAAACAGCGTAATACATAGACACTGGATCGTGACACGGAACACAACGAGCCGCATAATGAAAAGTGCTTCGACGAATCGTCGCTGGTAATTGTCAGCGCTCTGGACGTCAAATACATTTATTAAATTCATCACTGGTTGTGAAGTAAATTTCCTGTTTTAATTATATGTTCTAATCATTTGTACGTGTGATATGATCGACAAGAAATAGGGATAACTCAAATGAAACGTCTTTGCCGTTAAAGAAAATAAATTCACTTAAATACCACGTATAACGATTGGTTAGAATTCTATGGTTGCTCTCGAAACATCGATAAATTAATCTACCCTATTAGAGCAGTATATTTCTGCGTGACGTTGCGCGTGATAGAGAAACGGGAACGAGCGTGAACGAGTAACAATGAATAGCAATAACCGGTATAACGTGGAGTGATCGCGGCAAAATGTCGCGTGATGCGTGTTAATACAACTGGGACCCGTGTTATTTTTTTAAGGTATACACACAGGGTGTCTAGAACTTTCGGGAAAACAAACTTTTATGTTTTATATTGACAAGATTGACTTTAGGACCTATGTTGGTTAAACATTTCTTACTCCTCTCAATGAGTACTGTATGTGTACGTATACGTATAGGATGCTTAAAAATAAGTGTTAACACTTATACGAAACTAATAACACAAATTTCATCCAAGTAATGACAACCGCGATGCAGAGAAATAGTGTAACATTTATCTTCATTCAAGGGCTGTTTTCACCCCGAAGAACTGAAAAAGGGCCAAGAAAAATTGTCCGATACTTCTCTTGAGGTTCCCTACAAATCTGCAAAGTTTCAAAAAAATCAGAATTTTCGGGTTACCGAAGCTCCCTTGTTAGTTTAGTTATATAAAGTATTCATATGTATATAAATTCAAAATTTAAAGGGTCATAAGTATGAGTGAGCGCCAGTTCAGGGGTAAACCAACATCCAGCACCAGATTTCCACGCAAACACCCAAAATATACAAGATATTCTTGCTCACCAATCTTATTAACGTCCCAGATGACCACGATGGCGCCCAGTTTGGCCAATCTGAGGGCGATCAACCTTCCCAGACCTCCGCCGCCCCCAGTGACCAACGCGATCTCCCCAGCAATGCTTTTCATTCTATATTTCATTGGTATGAACAATTTAACGATGCTCTCGGCGATCGACACCACGGTGAGGATCAGAAAACCGATCAAATCACCGATGGACCTGAGAAACGACATGGCTGCCACGTTCTTCCGGTCAGATCCTCGATTATCTTCAATTTATGGAGCGTTTTGTCGCAACACGCAACTCTTCTGTGATTCGACGACTTACGATCGATCAGGATATCATAGCTCGTCGTCACAGAGGGTATGCGTGTCTGTTAGAGCCTTCCGGAAGGGCGGTGCTATCACTACAGCTGGAAACTGGATGATGCTGACTTGAACAACGCCTTTGTATTCAATTTTCAATTCTGAAAGTCATAATTATCATATTCAAATAAGGAATGATCAAGATTAATATTGATATTACTTATTAAAAGTTTTTAAATCATAGGATATGGTATCTGCAAGATTATCTATGAAATTGGACCTGTTTATTGTTGATGGTAACATGGTTAAACAGATTTTAATTCAGATTAATAAAGAAACGAAGGTTGAATGTTTTTATGCAATTAATGTACAATTAATTGTACACCTTATTTATAAGGAAATTCTGCTGGTTGCTCGAAACTAGTAGAATAAGACGTAAAGTCGGTGTAGAAACTAGTGTACGCTTTCTCCAAATTTCGTATCACTTTCTTCTTGCAATAAAGGGGTCGTCCTGGGGCACAGATAATCGCGCAGGGATCTAAGATGTTTCCCTAATTTTCTTCCTCTACAAGAACCTTCTTTAACCGAAAGCCAACCAAAAAACATGCGCTAAGGAACGAATACGAAATTTTTGAAGAATCCTAAATGTTACAAATTGACAAAGTAAAATCTACAACAATAATGTGTAGTAAAACAAAATTTTGCAATGGGATAAATACAAAATTTCTGAAGAATCCTATTAGACAAAGTACAATTTACGACAACAGTATCGTGAAAGAAAATCTTCTGACTAAAATATGAAAGTGACTGAAAAATCTGCTAAAACGATTAATAAAATGTCAATTTCAATCATCTTTCTATTATTCTAAACGATCTTTAACTCACGATTTTCCCGGTGATTAACGTTGCAATGAGCCACGAACATCCAGCATCAATTCACTTTCTAACGAGACGCTTCAGTTCACTTTCGATTTTCAACCGTTGGAGGAGCATCGTTTTTCGTATATATCACCCGTTATCAGACGATCGTTGGAGCACAGTAACTTATGTGTGTACATATGTATGTATATACGGCGAGTACAGAGAAACACGTTATCGTTACGCGGAATCGTTTCATAAAAGAATAAGGAACCGGTAACGAGAAAACGAAATCGGCCTATTTTTTTGTTACGTTCGCTAGTTTGTTGTGAACCAGACAGGAAAAACAGCGTAATACATAGACACTGGATCGTGACACGGAACACAACGAGCCGCATAATGAAAAGTGCTTCGACGAATCGTCGCTGGTAATTGTCAGCGCTCTGGACGTCAAATACATTTATTAAATTCATCACTGGTTGTGAAGTAAATTTCCTGTTTTAATTATATGTTCTAATCATTTGTACGTGTGATATGATCGACAAGAAATAGGGATAACTCAAATGAAACGTCTTTGCCGTTAAAGAAAATAAATTCACTTAAATACCACGTATAACGATTGGTTAGAATTCTATGGTTGCTCTCGAAACATCGATAAATTAATCTACCCTATTAGAGCAGTATATTTCTGCGTGACGTTGCGCGTGATAGAGAAACGGGAACGAGCGTGAACGAGTAACAATGAATAGCAATAACCGGTATAACGTGGAGTGATCGCGGCAAAATGTCGCGTGATGCGTGTTAATACAACTGGGACCCGTGTTATTTTTTTAAGGTATACACACAGGGTGTCTAGAACTTTCGGGAAAACAAACTTTTATGTTTTATATTGACAAGATTGACTTTAGGACCTATGTTGGTTAAACATTTCTTACTCCTCTCAATGAGTACTGTATGTGTACGTATACGTATAGGATGCTTAAAAATAAGTGTTAACACTTATACGAAACTAATAACACAATATTTCATCCAAGTAATGACAACCGCGTTGTCATTACAATCTACTGCAAAGAGAAAATAAGAAAATATGTGCATACACAAATTCTCCATATAAGTGTCAACATTTTCTTAATCTTTCTGTACATAACATCAAATATATCAATACGATATAAACTAGAGAATAACAAACACTGTAAAAGTGATTAAGCGACGGTATGACAGGTGCCTGAAGATAAACTCATAATCAATATTTTTCTAATCTAAGAGATGAGCAAGTATATAAATAGTTAAACATTTACGTAAACGTGTTTATCATCAGGCATCGCGTGAGAATAAAAACGAAGTCAGAATCGTGTTTCTTTTTGTCCAAAGTAAACGATCGAATCGAAAGTGAGTTGAGGGTACGATAACACTTTTTCGACGGATCGATCGGGCGCAAGAGTCGAGAAATCAGCGGGCCACTTTCAAAACTGTCCGCTCGCGGCAGAGTATCGAGCGTGGTTAATGCACGAATTCAATTTGCGGCCGGCGTAGGTCTTCCTCTCCGCTCTGCGCTCGATCTTTATAGACTTCAGCGTACCATGATATCTCCATGAGCCTTCTATCATCTCTAAAGTTCGTCAATCCTAAGTAAATCCTTATTAAATCCTTAATTAAATCCTTCGAAATTCTGAAATGTGTGCTCACTAGGAGCGGTAAATTTGTAAATAGAGGAAAAAGGATCTTACTATGAAGGCTCCTCGTGGCAGAGTAACTCGCGATCCCGCTCGAAAACACTCACGGGTCGGGGCAAGAGGCACGGTGGTGCACGAAAGCGCGTACCTATGCGAAAGTTAGCCACGGAACGAGGAGATACTCGTCTCACCGGTACTACGGTCGTCGGTATACTGAATGAAACGATGGCTCCGGTACGCCTTTACCCTCTCGACGATCTCGAGGCAATAGTCTGCGCGCATCAACCGAAGAACAGCGAACGGACATTAATATGACCGCTGTATCTAGCTGTGTAGTCCGCTGTGACTAGCGTCTATTTTAATTTCACTAAATTCAATTATAGTATCAATTTAGGGGATACAAGTGGTCCCCGTTTTGCCAATTGTCCATCTACTTTGTTTCTTGGTTCTTTATAGTGTTTCTATTTCGTTAATTTGAAAAGAATGGGGTAATTGTTACCCTTTTCTCCCTTTTCTCCCTTGTCTTTAAAACTTGCTATTTTCTGAAAGATTTGGATTGCTGCAATAATTATCCAGAATCCGCAATGGTTTTTTAAAGAATTTTTCCTTCTCGTGGGTGAGCAGAGATAATTGTTACCTGAAATACAATAGTTTGCTTATTTGATGATCTTTCAATTTTCATTTGCTGAGAACTTTATTGAGTTGAGATTTTTGTTATTTGTGAATGAGTATTAGTGCAGAATGTGTTTATCCTTGCATCAATTATTGCTACAGTAAAAACAATTTCATAAAAATCAATTATTATTACTGTAAAAACAATATAAGCGTATTTTATCTCCGTTCTTACCATAAAACGTTATGCAATAATTTCAAACAGGACGAAAAGAATTCTGCAAGTAATGTTCACATGAACTTGCATTACACTTACATTCGAATCAACGTGTTTATCTTCTGTACTTTGAGAATAACCATTAAAGGATCCATGGATCTTAATTAATGCGACGAGAACGTTGTTTCGTGGTTTTGTGACACAGTTCTCTTCCATTATCGCTCGTTGTTCTGGCAATTGGCGAACTGGAACAGCAAACAGTCGATGCAAAACGTAGTGCATTTCCTTCCGCTAGAAAATCGCCGTGGCGAGAGAGTCGAACGAAGGAGAGAGTAGACTCCTGGATAGAATATCGATGACTTGATAAATTTTTCGTCAATTATTCCTTATTTTCCAACGAATAAAAGGTATACGATGAAAATCAAGACGATAAGCGAACCTTTATCGTGTCAAGGAGATCCAGTCGATATCGTACAGGCAAACAACTCTCAAGCAGCCAGTGGAACCAATTAAAGAAAAGAATCAACGTTAAAGAAGCATATCGGTGATTGTAGCTAGGGTTAAAAACAACACTTTGTTGAAATTATAAATGTTTGAATACAAACTTGAAAATCACTTATTCGTGCAATTTTCTTGCTTACTAAGATACATTCAGTGGTCAAACATTTTTACATTCCTACGTATGTTAGAGTTAAGTGATGCTTCCTTTGTATTGCTTTTCACTGTAACAGCGTAAATGTATTTAGAGAAGAGTTTCAAGTTATCTGAGCTTGACGTATCTCATTCTAGTCAATTAATATCACGTTGAATTGCGTGTAAACAACGAAGAAATTAATCGACGTATTTTTGCGTCGCAAATAAATATACCTTTAATTATTTTTATGAGTGACTATGGTGCACATTAAGTTTGCTAAAAATATTGAATATTGAAAAATTCTTCATTTTATTTTA